ACGACAAGAGTAGGTGACCTAATCTTCGTCTTCTTTCTTAGCCAACGTGAAGCACTTGTACCGGATGTTAAACAAGGATGTCTGCTCATCAAAAATTTGCGATACGACTGAGACGAATTTGTCGACTGATAGCTCAGTGCTCTTCATTGACAAAATCTTTGTAAACATTTTATGTTCAGCCGCACACAGCTTCCAGAGCATCAGACGAATTTTTTTCTCTTCTGGTACCTTTGCGAAATCAACACGAAATATGTCTTCATACTTATGAAACCAGGAAGCAAATCTTACGCCAGCATCCGCATCCTAATGGAATTCACTGCTCTACTGAGTCAGGGTTTCTGGAAAAGAGACTTTCACTTAACCCTTGGCTGGATTGTATCGACAGCTTCTGCGTCAACATCGCAATGAACTTCACCTGCGACTTTTCGAGCTGTATTTACTGTTGCTGCAAAAGTGCCTGCAATAGTTCAAAGCTGACTGCCATTTCTGGGTTCGATTGAGAACTTCGTCGCCACTGTTGTAACACTGCCCTCGCCTCTGCTCTTTACACTGCCAATCCAGCCGGGGGACGAAAACGGAACGCCTAAGCCTGCTAGACCGACGCATATTAGGAACAGAACAGGGTTAATTTTCTAGGTCTCATGTTCTTACTTCGCCGGTCTGTCACTGAGGTGAATCACATCTCTTGTCTGGGCGGATTCGACCCTTGTAGCGGCCTTAACTGTCTGGCTATAGTTATGGTCACGTCCGCATCTAAACAACCCGTGCGATGATGCCGATTTGATTTCACCAGCTTCCGGGGTGACTCATCCGTCTTACCGTCGGTCGGTTAGCAACCCATCTCATCCAGACAAACGTCCCGAAATTGTATCGCCTTCTCAGGCTGCGGCTTCCGATTAAATTGCATACAAGACTAAAGTTTTCGGATTGTTGGAAGAGTTCGTTCTTCCGAAGCTTCCGTGCCTTATTCAGTTTGTCCGAAGATATGCATGAAATTTCCGCTGAACTAGATGGTTCTTTTGCATGTGTTGACAATATCGCTGGGCAATTATGCCTTACCTTCGGACTGGAAGAAGGCAATCATCTATCTGATTCTTAAAGGCGGCGATAATAATTTGCTTGCGAAATACCCTCCTGTCTGCTTGATAAGCGTAGTAGTCAGGTTGTTTAAATAATGTGTGAGGAACTCGCGGGAGAACCACGTGAATCATTATAACCTTCTCACCGATGCACAACACAGATTCCGTAATTTATTTTCATCGCTGACCAATTTACTTGTGGCTCGTGAATGCTTGGTTGAGACCGTAGACAGCGGCCACGCTATTGACGTGCTTTTCGTTGACTTTTTCAAAGCGTTTGATGCCGTCCCACATCAACGACTCACTAAATTTGAGGTTTTATGGGATATCTGACGCTACTCCTAAGTAGGCCTCTGTTTTTCGGGAGAGGAGAACACAGTGTGTGCGCGGAGGGCGTAGCCTTTGGCTTAGGCAAGATGTTTTTTGTGGCGGTCCTCAAGCCTCGGTTTTAGGGCCGTTGCTTTTCGCAGTTTAAATCAATGACTTACGCAAGGAGCGTGAGGTACCGTCTCTACTGTATGCTGAAGTCCTTAATTGGAATATTGTGGATATCGTGGGGGGAAGAGTTTCTGAGGTTATTCAGAGTGCCTTGGATAAGCTCTAGGACTAGTCAACCTTATGAATAATGCTTTTAAATCAGCTGTGCTCCTCATTGGAGCTGTTAGTCCCCCACGCGCCATGTTGTTGGTGTAAGTGTAGTCCCTGTTATTAATCAGCAGATTGACTTAAGTGCCATCCACACATAAGTTCTTCACTCTGAGAACAATTGGAAAAAGGTTGCTTGTATAGAGTTTCGTATAATCTGCTTTAATCGCTGCTCCGTCGGTATCCCAACGGCCGATATGTTTGTGAAGCTTTACTCAACTTTTGTGCCACCCCTCAGAATACTATTCATGCTTATTCCCCACGTTTTGCAAGGAACAAACTGGGACTGGATAGGGTTTTGTGAGTGAGTACAAGATTATTGTAGCGTTTACTAGGACACATGTATCCCTCACGTTTGCTTAGCTTGAGGATGTACTCACTTCACTGCCGTAGAATTAGCGGGGACTTAATCCTCACGGACCGTATTTTAACGGGTAAGATCGGTCCAGACTTCTCTTGACTATTTAGTCCCACTAAGCTGCCTAGTCTCTGCGGTCACCCGTCGAAGCTACACAATCTGCATTCTGATTGGGTAAAGACGGAAACTCCTTTGTTGCACCAGGTTACTGGACATTGGAACTCTCTTTCGGAGCACTTCGTTAGGGGGTCCAGCTTGAGGATTTCAGGCGCCAGTTAGATGATCTTGGGTCTCAGTGCCAAACCATCCCCTTCTCTTAACCAACTTGTATATTTAACTTTCTGTTCTTTTCCCCTAGTTGTTTTCAAATCTTGGTATTACTATTATTATTATTATTATTATTATTATTATTATTATTATTATTGGTTGACGTTCCTCCTATTAACTTACCACTCACTCCTGCTTCACCTAATCCGGTCTGGCATGGACTGCTGGGCATGATGTGGGCAGGGTGTGGTGCGGTTTTTGTGTTGGGCTTTTCGAGATCAAAAACCGACTTGTCATTGTGGCCTCCATGGGGACAGGCTCAAGACGCCTGCGCCTTCTGAGCG